GGGAGCGGACGGAGGTTATGGATGGCAGAATAGCACTCTCACTGTTCACAACAGAGACACCAGCATAGCTCCATATGAGCGTGAATGTTTCCTCATTCCTCAGGGAAAGTAAAGGGGTCAAGTATTACTGAGCCCCAGATTGGCCTGGAGCAGGACAAACAGCCCTCTGCCTTCAGGATGTGCCTTTATTTCTTGCTTATTCTGTCTTATTATCTGCTTATTCTTGCTTATTATCTGTCTTGTAGAGAACAGGAGCTGAGGTGGCCAGTCTTGCTGAGAGCTGAGCTGTGTTTGCAGGAAGTCAGATGTTTCCTGACATTTTGGTGTCCAACAACTTGCTGCCCCTATAACCGTGGGTCTGTGAAGTCGGTTATCCTGTCTCCAAGGCTGACCAAACTCTGAACGAGGTGCAAAAAGCTGTAGCATAGGTGTCACGATGTGATGCTGAACAGCAAAGGAGGGGAAGCACTCTCTCCTTCACCATAGCTGATGAAGCCCCGAAATTGTGGTTGGTGCTGGTTATTGGGGTTGACGTAGCCTCTATTCTGACTCTGAGCAGCCTAAGCAAGGACGATGCTAAGTACATGCATTTTGTAATTGTTGCTAACCAGCTGGACAACAGGTGACTCTTAATCTTACATATTCTTCTTCTTTTAAAAAAACCCAAACAAACCAAAACCAAAATAAAACCATAATCCTTTACAAAAATTGAAAGGTTTATTTCTTTAGAGGCTGTTTGTCATATACACTGCTAGAATAGTCATGGTGCTGAGGGGATTAAATCCGGTACAGATGAGAAGTTTCAGTGACGTTTTATTTGGAACAAAGAACTTGTGGCTGGAAATCTTCACTAGAAGAACAGTGGTTCAGAATCAGGGATTCTAATTTTTCAGACCTGCAGCAAAGAGCATCTGTCGTGATTTAAAAACTCAGAATATGTTTCCTGTGTAAGTACCTCGCTGTTTCTGCTAAGACAGCCAAGTAAATTTAAGAAAAGCTGGTTGTGTTCCTATCATGAATGTTTAGGTGATGGATCTTGTGAGTAGAGGGCATCTCTACATAATGCAAATGCATTTAGGTATTTTTCTCCTGTGATAAACACTGAATTTTGATTGCTTATTAATGTGAAACCTTCAAATTTTCGTTTCAAGCTACGAACTAATGGTCTTGCAGGGTTTTTAATTGTTTGTATCAAAGGCGCATATGTAAGCTACAAAAGAACAAAATTATTAGCACGTTACTGTAAATATACCTCACAGAGACCCTTCTGTGCTTGGTTACAAGCAAGCTTTCTGCTTCCTCATCAGGGACAGCCAAACAGGCTTCTGGATGCTGAAGGCTCAGGCTATTCTTCCTAGGCATTTGCTAGACTGTTAATTAGAGCTACACAGGGTTTCTGCTGATCCCTGCCTGTGCTTCATCTACTTGTCTTCTAATGAGTTTGTGGTCTACCTGGAAACCTTGCAAACAACTTGGATGGGGGAGGGGGAAAGCAATCTGTGTCAGTCATTTTCTCCTTCATTAGATAAATGTCTTGCACATAAAAAACTGAAATGCCTAATTATCTAAGGTTTGTGCTGTTTTAAACTGATTTAAGGGCAGGTACTGTAAATGCTGAAGAAGCTGAGCTAAGATTTTGCAGTTTTATTTTATTTATGTTGAAGTATCTGAGGCGGGGGGCGCTCACTGAAGCTAGCATAAAACATGGTGTGAGTCAAGAAAATTAAGCCAGTTTATAGCTGTCTAAGAAGCTAACATAACGTGAGGAAAAAATTCACTTCAGGGCGATATTACAAAGATTCAAATGGATTTGGAGAAATGCAACTAAAAACCTTTAAAGGGAGATGACATGCTCTGTACCTGTATAGTAAAACAGAGTGAGGAATCCATCAGTGACTCATGTAGAGATGAATCACATCTCTGCGTTGTACCACATGGCTACCAGGGCAAGGTTATGAATAAACTTTGTATACCATGAAATATAGGATGTCTTTCCCCCACACACGCCCCCTCAGATAACCTGAGAAGGCAGGCACCTAAGTATATACTAATGAATATGCAAATTATCTTCCTAATGACGTAAGTGCATTGTCCACCAGAGAACAGGTTATGACTAAGCAAATGCATGTAGCCCTTTGGGGTTCTGTACCTCCTGCAGCCATGTCCCTGTCTCTCGCTAATGTATACATCAGGGCCCACCCCCACACAGGGGGTTTGCAGGCAGAATACTGAAATCAACAAACCAGAATTACTAAATTTCAGAGCTTTCAGGCAATAGCACAGTTTGCCTTTAACACACACAAACTCTGTGGGCCGAGTCCAGTTCCTCACTGAGCCGAGGCACTGAGATGGTACCAGTGCAGGTTTTGGAAGCCACCCTCAGCCACCCTTGGGGCTGCTTCCCGGGACAGTCTGAATGTATATCCTCAGAGCTAACTCCTCGCTCTGAGCTATTGTGAAATTTAATTTCTTTCCAAGTGATTCTGCGTGTAGCTAGACAATGTGTTTTGCAGTTGCTTATTGCCTGGTCACAGCCTCATGCCCTAAGCCAAAATGAGCACTAGTTAAACGCAGAGCAGAAAATAGAAGATGAGATTTGGGAGGTAGAAGAACCTGGGAATGCACGTGTAAAACAATAACGCTGTGAGCATGAGAACTGAAGAAGCCCGACTTCCTATGGATTTGTTTCTTTTTGTTGGTTGCAGGATCTGAGAAGTTACTAATACTGATTTAGGTCTTTCTCCTAATGAGGCATGAAGAAAGCCTCTCACCTGTGGATCCTTTGGTGTCAGAAAAAGATAAGCATTGCACTTAAGCTTTTTTCCCCAGCTAAGGTATGCTTAAGGTCTTTCTTCTTCACCTCACCAATTATTTTTGTGTCATTTGTAAGAACATACCTTTGAGACCATTTCTCCTCAGTCAGATTTGATCAAAAGTCAGTAGGGTTTTAATGAGCATATACATGTGCATGTGTGGAGACTGATGATTTAATAAGCCCCATGTGCTTAGGAAATCAGGCTGAAATAAAGCAACTATCATGTCTCTGAATAGACAGAAGGATGCTATTGCTGCTGAGACCTTTCCCGGTTGAAGAAGGACAGTCAGGATCCAGCTGGCACAGCTGGTTTAGCTGTTCAGCAGCTAAGCGAGGATGCGGTGTCAGTGAATAGGAGAGTGCTCTGTTATGGATTTATCAATGGTAGGAGAAGAAATGGTCACTCGGGCTGCGAGGTGTAGTCCACCTCATTCTGGTACTTCTTGTCAGGAGGGAACAGGAGGACTCTTTCTTGGCCAGTGTGCAATGCCTCGCCGTGATCAGCCAATGGACTACCCTGTCTTGAAATAAATGCACAAGTTTCAAGGAAAAATCCCTTCTCTTTCCAGAGGATTGGTGGAGAAACAGCAAGATTCCTACTGCATAATCTCCTTGCTGGGAAATTCGCAGTGTGTTACAGTTGTGGATAGTCTCACAGTAGTGCAATAGGCAGAGCCTTTTAAGCAAGCTGCAGGGAGCTTATTTACAAGCGCTTTCCTCCTACAGAGAGCCTCTGTGATATTCTAGTGCAGAACAACAAGTGATCATTGATGTTTTCCTCTTTCATAGACTGGCTAGCATGTGTTCTAGAAGGGCCAACGCTGTCTCTTGCATGCAGCAAAAACAAAGCTGCATGTATGGGAATGATGGACAGGAGGATTTTAAAGCTGAGTAGTTTCCCACCCACTGCACTTTGTGTGTTTTCTGGGATTGTGGTGATGTGCTGTGTCTGATCAGAAACTGGCTCTATACTCCTGCTCTGCATGGATTTATTTCACTCTTCCAACTAGCTATATGATTGATAGTCCTTTAGGGTCTTTTTCTCTAGAAAAGAGAAACTTTAATCACATTTTAAACCAGTGGCAGTAAATGCTTTCTTAAGTGTGGGTTTTGGAGGACTAAAGGACCATTCATTTCAGAACTGCTGACCCATAAGAGTAACTAGCAGTCAACACCTTATGCTGAACATGAACTTTGAAGGTAAGGCCTTTTGCCTCACCGCAGCTGTTTCAGAGTTGCCATTTGCCAAAAGATGGATGAAGTGTGTTTGTTCGAATGATAGATACCTCCTGAATGAGAGATACGTTAAGCACACGACTTCTCTCCTTGGTTCGGAAGGCAGGTCCAGAGGGAACAGATTGGCTGCAGGACTGCTGATCTGATGTAGAAATACTCCTCAGTTTAAGGGCAGGCACCCAAAATGAGAGGAATAAATGTTGTTGGCATCCAACAGATGGTAGTTGACATGTTTTCAGCTGTCACAAGTCTTTTGAAATTCTCCTGTTGTATATGCCAGAGTTTCACCTTTGTGCTGCTAGGCTGAACATAGAAATGGCAACTGCAAGAAGTTCTACAGCACTCTGTAGGTAAAGAGAATTAAGCTGAACCAACAGAAGAGGATTAGTAAATCTCAAATTAGTATGTGCACCTCAGACATCGTGATTGGAATATTCCACATTAAATTCACTTTGTAGAATAATTTTCATTGCATCAAGTCTTTAATTGTTGTCTCTAGCCTCAGGTAAGAACTGAGTCACCCGCAGCATCTATCTCAAGCTCATCTTCCTGACCATGACCCTAAATTGCAACATGTAAATGTCTTTTGCCTGGTACAGTCCTGGCCTGTTTTCTATTGCCTCTGCTTTGAAGTGTCAGCTTTCAGTGAACTTTGCTAACATTTTATTATTGCATTGAGGCTGAGGGAGAGAAGAGCAATTAAAGGGTTGACATCTTTGGTATTTTTTTAATAGTACATGTGTCAAAATGCATTTAACAAATCATAGTTGATGCAAAAGTCCAATTAATGCTAAAATGTAAGTAGAGTTCATTTCAGTTGGGAGCAAATGAGAATTTTAAAATATGTAATAACAAAAAGTGGTTGCCTTATTTTAGATGTAGGACCTAACTACAACCCCTGTTTCTGAGAATTGAAGTCTTAGAGCCTAAATATTCCTTTCTGTTCCAGGATACAGCTGGACAAGAAAGATACAGGACCATCACTACAGCCTACTACCGAGGAGCCATGGGCTTCATCCTCATGTATGATATCACCAGTGAAGACTCCTTCAATGCAGTGCAGGACTGGTATGAAATACTGTTGTTGTTGGGTTTGTTTGTTTTTTGGCCAATTCTCTCCTCACAATTGTTTGTTGAGAACATTAGACATCCCACCCTCCACAGTACTTTGCATCACTGTATTCTTTCCTCTTCATCTAAACTCTGGGATAAACAATTTGTTTTTTAAACTCTCCTTAGAAAAAGTTCTACAGCTTCACTTCAATGAAAAAGTTATAATTCAAATACAGTAGCATACTATAGCCATTGTTGCTTTTAAAAGTTCTAATTTATTGTAAAGAAATTAATCCTTTAAAGGATTATTTGGGCTTATGAGGTTTCTGGCTATGCTGCTAAAACAATCCAGTTTAACAGTCGTCGTTCAAGTCAAATCTCATTTAAAATCTAATAAGGCTAAATCTTTCCAAACTGCCTTAAAAAGTGATTTTTTTTTTTTTTTTTGAATCTACAAGTGTAGACACACGGATCAGTATTCATCTTGCCTAACTTCTGATAATTAAAAATCTAACTTTACCCATTTAAAACTTGTGAAGTTGTAGTTGTAATATGAGGAGGAAGAGCAAGGTCTAGGACAGAAAGCAAGCATACCCCTTGGAAGGGGCCTGTGTGTTACCACTGACTACAGAAAGCACCTGAACAACTCTGTAAGGCAGCACTCAGTGTGGAATGGTGGGATGGGGGAGGAGGAGTTACCTGTTAAATGGGGAGGGTGGGGACTCAGCCCTAAAACTAGGTATGAAACGGATTCTTAGCTGTCATGAGCTCCTCTGGCTCCACTGAATTCAGTACAAATGCAGAAACACCAGAAAATGATTTCTGGACTTTCTGATGACAAAAAGCCAGGAAATATTTTTGTCTTACAGGAAAAAAGAAAGCACCAGGTCAGTCACTTTAAAAACTCCATGGCAGTATAAAAGCTGCATTGGTACCCAGGCTCATCTCCCCCACATTTTGGTGTGCACTTCCCCTTCCCCACCTGAAGGCTCCCCTTGTAGCTCATGCCACCTGTCGTCTTCCTCGGGAGAAATGTCGCGTCTCACCCCACACTCTGATCTGATTTTGGAAGCAGAGCTGTGGCCCAGACCACCTTCCTGCTCTCCTGCCTTCCAGACAAGTACATGTACAGAGCAGGAAGAGTAGAGGTCTTTCCAGAAGAGCCAGAGCACATGTCGTTTCTATGGCCGTGGGCAGTTCCTGCAGTCCCCTCAGTGGTAGCTGATGGGAGGTGTTTTCTCAGCAGGGACCCAGCACAGTACCTGGGGTGAGAACGTCTGAGCTGCTGCTGTGAGGTAGCGGCCGCAGGCACAGCACAGCTAAGCAGAAGGCTGAACCCTGTTGCTGGAACTCGCCTTCTGACAACGGCATCCTCTCAAAGGGACACCAGACTTTGTATAGGAAATACAGGGCCCAAGGAGGCAGGGGAAAGGCTGTGTTTATCCTCAGAAATAGTACCTCAATGGCTCCCCTCAAATGTCTTGCAATCATTTCTGCTTGTTACCCTGTTGCTGTGTCCTGCAGATAGGTATGGTCACCATGCAAAGAAAGGCAGTGCAGTTGTTAATGTAATGTCCCAAGTCTGACAGGTTGATTTGCAATGATCTCAGCGACCTCCTGGGAGCATGTGACAGCAGCATGTAGGTGACTTAAAAATTTTCTTACCAGAAAAGGCAGAAGAGTCTCCTTCTTCTGGAACATATTCTGGCTATGGCACTGGCTCTTAGCATCCAGCTCAGTCTGGCTTTTTGTTGAACACCTATTCTATATCCCCTAATCTAGGTTGTAACTTAGAAGCCACAACAGCGTGGTTTGCTGTTTCTAGTAATTTGGCCTTTTTCCAAGGCTGTCCATTATTTGTTCTCACTGCCCACTGAAGCAGTAGTCTCCACTTTCACCCCATCTCCAGTATCGTGACACCATGCTGCAGAAGGTGAACTGCAGCACCTTCCCTGAGCTGCTAATGGTAGAGGAATAAATTTTTTCCTTGCTAGAAACACAAACCCAAAGGCTTTGCCAAAACCAGGGTCCTCCACGTAGCACACCCTCCACCAGTCTCAGATGAAGCTGTTTCTCCAAGTGTCCTTTTTCCATAGCAGTGCAGGCATGTGAACTAGGGCAATACCTCTCACTAAACTATAAATATTTTCAGCTTGGCTCCCTGTTGAAGCAAGGTATATATGACCAGTTCATCTGTCTGTCTGTTGGGTCGTCTCTAATACGTTTTACTTATCAGTCTTAACTTAGCCAAAAAATACCAAATCTCAATCTATGAGTTGCCATTATGAGATACTATTTTAAAGTTTGCGCAGGTGAAGTTTAACCTGAAGCTTTGTGTTGGAAATAGTCTAACATCTGTTCCATCAAAGGCAATGGTGCAAGAGTGTAAGAATTAGGAAGGGCTGGCTTTGTGTATTTGACTTCATGTCTCCCTGTGCCACAGGGGCTGCATGAATATCTTTGCTAAGAGCACCTTCTCAGCTAAAGGACAGAGGTGAACCATGACTGTTGTTTTTTACTCTATATGGCAGGAATCTTTCCAACCATCAGTTTTAAGATTCTGAGCCCAAATGATGTCATGGGGCAGATAAAATCGGCCTGTGGTAGCCCATTTCCATCCTTTCTGAAGCTTGTCCACAGGAGAGGAGATGAGGACTGTAGCAAAGCCAGCATCGCTGTGCCAGCAGAGTCCTCTAGTGGCGATGCAGCTAAAAGATGTTTTTTTCCCAGTCTGCAAAATTGCTTTCTAAACTTCCAAAAGGACAAGAAATGGAAACAAAAGCTTTTGCCTGGTGCTGCTATATCAGCCTCTGCCATTTGCTAGCATAGCAAGTAGGTAGGATTTATTTTTTTTTTTCTCACCATGCTGGGTGATACAGTTATGCTTCAGAAAAACATTACACTGGATCTGGTCTTCAGTCAGGAACTGTACTTTCCTTAGAAAATTAAGATGTCTACTACTTGAGCTTCTTTAGCTCAGAGCCTTTACCTCCATGAGCCTAGTCCCTTCTTCAGGTCAAGTGCGAGACAGCAGCAGCATACCTAATGATAAAAACAGAGCCCTAGCAGTCCTGCAGTGCTTCTGTTTGGTGCTGGTGAGAGGATGGAGTGGCAGCAACTGGGAAGCTGCACAGGCTGCAAAGTCAGTAGCATGCCCCTGATGCTCGGCCCTGCCTTGTCTCGTCCATCGCATGTGGATAGGACAGCCTTCCTTCTCTGTCTGCTGTGCCCAGCAGGGAGGACCTCTGTAAAAGTGAGAGGGCTGGAGCCAGAATGTTTGGGACGTGAGATGGTCTGATGGTAGGATAAGTGCCTGAACCACCTCTTCTCTGCTAATGAAGCTGCTACCCTCAGTAGCATTGCTCCTAGATTCCCAGGAAATGGCAAAGTTGCAAGCTGCTTTTTACCTTGCAAGGAAGGTGTGTGGCTCGATACACGAGTTGCCTCTCTCCTTGCAGAGGTTTAGGTGAGACTATAACAAACCATACTAGTTCTAAGACCATACTTCAACCCTCACTGAAATTAAACGGGGCATCCACCTAGAATATATGCAAAAGCTAACGGCAAAGCTCATCCCAGGTCTTCTTATATCCTGCAGGTTTCCAGAAATTACAGCAATTAATCCTACACATCCTTTCTCTCTTCAAGGTGCATTTTGCAGTGTCCAGCTACAGTAAATAAAGAATACTCTTAAGTTGAATATTTTGTCAAAAGTGCAGCATGATGCAATATCGCATGCATAAACGCAGCATGATGTCAGATCGGCTGACCTTTTAGACATTGAGAATAAATCAGCATTACTCAGTTAATGTGAATCCAGTAAGGAACCTGTTAACCTTCCCAGTTATTTCTAAAATAGCGTGTGTGGATGGAATTTGAGTGTTTCTCTGGCATAAAAAGATGACTAAGCCATCTGCCATGTGATCATAGGACTGGGCTCATAAAGCTTATTTGCTGGTATAAAATAAAACATGAAGTGATGCCCCTTCCACTAACTTTTGGCTGCTTTCCATCCCAGTCCATTTTCATTGGCTGGTAAGAATTTCCCACCTGAACATAATTCCTGGATCCTAAAATTGTACCCATTCACAAAACCTTGGAATGGGTCACGTTGTGTACAGTAGTCATCTATGTGTTTTACAGTAGGACATTGTCCAGTCTAAAGCTTGTTCCTTCTTGCTGGTGCCCTGCCTATTGCTGTTTAGTGATTCAGGTTTTTTAAGATGCTGCGTAAGCAGGCTGTCAACATGAGTCTCAGCCCATCTCACTGCTTTCTCTTGTACCGTCTCTTCCTGCAGAGTTTCCTACAGCAAACAAGCCAAAAGCATGAACAAACAGCTGAACCAGAGACCTAGCACTCCAAGTAAGCTCTCGCCCATGACAAACTGTTACCTTCTGTTGAGCTCACAGGGGTGTGCATAGATCTCAAAATCCATCTTCATAATTACACTGAAATTATGAGAAGGTAGCCTTGTGCAAAGTCAGCTCTCCGTCAGAGAGAAGTCTTTTCCCTTCTAGACCTCTCCAGCATCTTAGAGCTTATATCCTCCCTCTAGCTGGGAAATTGCCGTAACAGGTTGTGCTCACTAGCCTTATTATTCTCCAAGCTGTTTGATGAAGCTCCAACATCCCCTCTAAAACTGCCTCCCATGTATGTATGGTGCAATTTACCTCTCATCTCTGGCTCATTGGCATGTGACTGTTTTAACAGCCTCCTGACCTGGCCTCACCTGTCCACAAGGGAAATGAAAATATCTCTTCCAGTCTGCCATATGATTTCTTCCTTGGGTGATCTTTTTACCGCACCCTTCTTATGGGTGGATGTCCTAAAGAGGATTCTGGTTTGCTTTGTGTCACTCCAGAAATACTTCTCCTAAACCAAGTAAAGGCACTCTTTCTCCTGAATGAGGAGGATCATGACTTTGTATCAGGTATTTAGACAAGCTCTCGAGGTAGTATGTGAATGTGAGGTACAGTCTTTCCTTCATTCACATGGATCACCCAAATTAATGATAATTGTCTTAAAGCAGCTGAGAAAGAGTAAGATTTAAATGCATTTGGGAATATCTAGGACATGACCCATTCTCTTGTTCTTTCACTGGGAAAGGTACAGCAGGTTGTATGAGAAGCCTTAAAAAACTAAGCCTGAGGGATTTTCTTTACTGCAGTGCGGCAAGATTACAGTCAGGTTATTTTAGAAGAAAAAGCATAAATGGGCAAAAGCAAAGATGGATTTTACCTGATATTTGAAAATAACTAATTATTTTGTTTGAATAATAAGACGTCTTTCCTGTAGGGTGAGTGAAAGAGGTAAAATGAGCTTTCATGGCTTTCAGCTCAGTTTCTGGATTTTTTTAGTAGGCTCCTTTTACAGTTATTATTTGACATTGGCTTGATGGTTTTGTGTGTAGATAAATCAGTGGTTTATACCTCATTTGAAACTGTAGTGAAACTAGAATATACTCAGCATTTGACACTGTAAAGTAAATAGAAAATATTATGGAAACTCTGCTTTGGACAATCTAGACAATTTCATAAAGGGAAGAAAAAATTGGTTATATTTAACTTAGATTTAAGTGGCAGCTGGGTTCACAAATCATCAGCTTTATTTATCTCTAAGGCTGATCTCCAAATTACGCTCTTGATATATTGATGTAACTGTGAACCTGAGACTATTTTTCTTCTAAGCGTGAAGCATAAAAACCATGCTTTATCGTTAATTTGGGGAATTCAGTACAAATAAGGCACAGCATTGTTATTGTGTCACAGAAATATATTTTTCCCAGTGTGTATATTGGACTGCCCTGATAGTTGTTGAAACATCTCAATTGCACAAGCCTTATTTATTTATTTATTTATTTACCTTTCCAAAAGCTTCTGGAAATTTGCTGCCTTTCTTTTTGTATGGGGATCAGGGTTTCTTTTAGGCGTTCTTCTTCATAACTTCTGGTTGGTTTTATTCCTAATAAGGGTAAATGGCAGTGTTCTGCAAGAGAGGATTTTCACTAACTTGTACAAAACAAGGAGAAGGATGAGTTTCTGTGGGAGATCCTTTATGCTTTTTTCTTCTTTTTCATTTTCTAAGTAATTCTGTTTAAATAGTTAATATTTGGCATCCAGAGAGAAGAATGGGAGTCAGAAGACAAGCCTGGTTGTTTTAAATTGAACCTGGACAGACTTTCTTTCGCTCTGTTGCTTATAGAGGGAGACTGGGGAGATTTCCTCTTCCTGGGCTTTGGTTGATTTCTGAGGTCATCCCTTTCTGTGATGAGCCTTGAGAAACCACAGAGTATGGCATAAACTCATCACAGGCTTATATTAGCTCTCACAGGGCTTGTCTGCATGGAGGCACTCAGAAGGGTGAAAGTGGAGGAGCCAAAATTGGGATTGGAATGAGTGCCTTTCCAGGAGGACACTAAGAAGAGTAAGAAGTTTCACTGCACAAAGTCCTTGATTATTTTTGCGTGTTGCAGTATGGGTCTGGGCTTGTGCAGTGGGTTTTGTTTAGGTTTATGTTTTCCAGTGCAATCCAAGCAGGCTGCTGCTTAAAGGCAAGTTGCACAGTGAAGTGACCCCCGTTTTCATAGATATCTGTGGAGTAACATGGCTGTCTGCTTTCCATGGAAAAGGCAAGTAAGCAACTCAAACTAATTAAAAATTATCATTAGTAGATCAGAGCTGGAGGCTGCTGCTAATTCAGAAGAGAAGGAATCAAGTGCTTTATTGTTAAGGGAGTTCAAGAAAACTAAACAGAAGTAAAATTTGAGTGGATTCCTGGCTCTCCTGGGAAATGTAAAGTTTGCCTGAAACTGCAGTGTCCTGTATGGAGGGGTGGAGAGCAGGGACAAGAGCGGAAGGTGAGTTAGGGACTGGAGGAGGGGTGGAGGAGGGAAGGAGCGTATCACTTCTGGCAGAGCAGTCTAATTACCTTTGGAAAGGAGGGAGTCTTAAAAGATAGAGCTGACTTGGTGAAGATAAAATAGGTTGGGCCACTCTGAAAAAATGGATGAAAATTAATGCTACCAAGCTAATACTGTTCTGCTGCTGGCTCTGTGACACCTCACCGAGGATGGTGGGAAAGGACTGGCCCCTCAGGATAAATAGAAAAAAAAAAAATCTTCTGTTTTGTCATAGAAGAACTATAAAGAGGCCAAATGTAAGGTCAGACTCCTGGGATCCACAGCTAGCTCCATTCCAGTTTCAGCACATGAGCCACAGAGAGCTTTAGAGGCTTTAAGTTCATCCCAGTGCTCCTGCTTAAGCTCCCATGCACTTGATCCCTCTGTCACTGAAGTTAGCATTTGTCTTGATACTTGCCGTCTGTCATTGCATCTGCTGTTCCCTGCCTTAGGTATTGCTTAATCCTGTTGGGTTCAAATGTTAGCTCACAGACCCTCACCTTGATCCCATATCTTCCCAATTTGGTAAATTTCTGTTTCTCTTTAGCAATAGTTTCCACGTTTCTATGCAATTTTCAGTCTCCTTGAACCAGTTTTCCTGTTCAAGAAAGATGACTTGATGCTTCCATCTGTTTGACTTTCGAAACACAATTTCTTATGGTGTTACTGCAACTCTGCAGCAAATGAGCATCTTTTTTGTCTGCTCTGAGTTATTGTTATGTGTTTTACAAGAAGTTGTAAATCTAGCATGAAGTGTGTATCTATTGTATGGCTTTCTCTATAGGCACAATATCCTTAAGAGGTGTAATTGATTGTCGTTCCTCTGACAGATTACAGCTGAAGAGGAATGAACTTTAGAAGAATGCTTTTTTTGTCCCTAGACTTCAGAAATTATTCAATTCAGCTTTTTGTCTGGATCTCATGATCTTTAAAACACTTGCAAAGTCTTAGCAAGTAACTTTATTGTCACACAAAATTAAGGAGTCGTAAAATAGAATGGTACTATAAATTACACAATCTACATTCTTGCTTTATGTGTAAGCTTGGTCATTTGTCTTTTAACCAACATACAGTCTTGAGATGTTGATGTGTCTTTAATGGTACTTGTTTTCATTGTATTTTGGCATGGCTGATGGAAGGTAACAATCTTTTTTGACCTGCTGTAGGGCCACACAAATCAAGACTTACTCCTGGGACAATGCACAAGTGATCCTGGTTGGAAACAAATGTGACATGGAGGATGAAAGAATTGTTCCTGTGGAGAAGGGGAAACATCTGGCGGATCAGCTAGGTACATGTCAAAGCTTTTCTTTCTACTCTTTTTCCTCTGCTTCTTTATACTGTGTTCCTTTTAATTTGTGTGATAAGTCTTTCCAGCAGTAATACTTTAATAATGGTATCACAACTAAGAAGCATAATATATTTTAGGTCCATATTTTACTTGCTTAGTGCTGAATACTGCCTTGTGTAGTGTTGCTCTATCTGTAAAGCTAATATCTAAGGATGTAAGGAAGATAAAGTTTGTCTGGAGAGAACAGCTTTTGTTAGCTCAGCAGAATGAAAAGAGAAGAAGTTTTCATAAACACAATTCTTCTCCAGGTCTCGAAGTACCACATAGTCATTTTCAGAATGCAAACATTGATTTTTGTAGGAGGAATTTTTTTTTTGCAACTAAACAATGAAAAAAGAAGTTTATAAATCAGAACTGTAGAGTTGAGTAAAATATATTTTTAAAATGTACCAGGCTTCTCTATCCAGGTAGGGAAATTACATTGTTATTGATGTGGGATAGAAAAAGCAAAACAGTTCCATTGAGAGGAAGCTAGGATTGCAGTGAAAATTTTAGAATGAAGAGCAAAATAAACTCCTCCTAATTTCTCATTTATTTACCATTTTTCATTATATATTATAGCACATGTGATCTTTTTAATCGGGAATCAGGGCTTCTCCGTTAAGATTTAACTATACTGTTGTCTTCTCTTGAAGAAGTGGCAACTAAATCTTGTTAAAATTTAATTCGGTTAACAGTGGAGAACCTTACAGTGGGCATACTGTAAATATTTGTTTAGCTTGTAAGAGTAGAGATTCTTACCAGACCCAAAGGAATCACCGTCATCCCTAATTTATAAAATCCTATGCTGTCTTCAATTCTTAAGCAGGAATTGGAGAGTGCATTGTTAAACTAGGGGTACTGGGCTGGGGGTACTGGTATTGTCTACACACTGCAGACATTGTAGTTTAAAGTGTGACCTTGATCAAATTGCCAATTATAGTTAAATCTTAGATAATGAGTATTTATTAGTTGGGGGTTTTGTTAGTGTCGTTTTGTTTTGTTTTTTTAATGAAGGGAAGGTATAGAAACCCTGCTCATAGATGACTATAAAGTATGGCTTTGCAATAGGGACCTGTGTGATAGAAACAAAAAGATGGTCATTGTTCCAGAGACTTAAGAGCAAGCAGATTATTTTTTCATGTTTCACGTGCAAAAAAAATAAGCATGTCTGCAAAGGCCTCCAGTGCCTTCAGAGCCTTCAAGTGTAAACTCTACATGTGCTAAGCACAAAGGGGTCCCATTCATGACTGGAGACTTGAGGCACTGCCATCATAAACAAATAATGAGTAAATACCAAACTAAATCCTCTAATTTCCCATCATTATTATTATTGTAATAATAATTATTTACATGTAGGACTAGTAAAGCAAACAAAGACATGGTTAGTTTGCAAAATCAGTTATGGACTCTTTTTTACACATCAGAATCTAATTTGCTTTTGAAAATATGAATGTGAATAAACTCGGTTCCTGACTTGCAGACTCTCAAAACCATTGTGAATGCAAGAGGGCCCACATATTTTGCAAGAGTAATTACACTGTTAGTAGTTGAAAATTTGTCCAGAACAATGTAACAGCAAACAGAGTGTTTTACAGGAACTCCCACTTCTATTTGGACTTCTGTTGTTTTTTCTGGCCCCAAAATTCATCTGTTTGTTTAAATACGAATCTGGCATCTAGAATCCCTTTACGCATGGGACACTTCAAAACACACAGGTGCGCAGCGTTACCGTAGCAACTGACTCCATCAGTAGGAAATTGTTCTGCTGAAGAATCCCCAGTTCTGCCCCCTACCTGTCCTTGCGCTCATCCAGCTCACCCTGGAGAAACATACCCCAGTGCAGAGCAAAACAGAAGCGAGCCTTGCCTTTGGAAATTGCTATCCCAGTCCTCTTCTTCTGTAGCCTCCCAAGATACTAATGCTCTTTTTGAAAGGGCTGAAAATATGTATCTGGTTTTATCAGTCATTTTTTTCTTATATTAACTGTGCTAATGTGTACAGCATTATCTGAAATCACTTTTTGTGTTAGGTGGGAGGAATCTCTTTAATTCACTATCGATTGCTTAAACTGCTAGCTTTCATCATAATGATTCACATAAAGGTTATTCTTCAGCATGTTTATCTAAGTTTGTATAGTGACATTAACATCATTGAAATAATTTCCTAATCAGATTAAGAAACTGTTATTGGCCTGAACATAAACTAAACCAAAACAGACTCAGCCACAGCAGAAGCTAAACCAATGTTGGACTGACAAATATCCAAGTTCAGTTCTCCGATTTCTTGTGCCTTTTATATACATTTTTAATCATCATCAAAAAAAGCAAGTGGGGCAGACGGAACCCTCCTCTGATGCAGGACAGCCGTCCTTATTTAGTAACAAGGCAAACATCTCCACCATCACTTCACCTGTTGTCCCATGATTTTTAAAAAGTCTTAGAATGGGGTAGATACCTACTTGTTATCTCACACATCGAGGTGACTCGGTCTACCAGCAGTGGCGGACTAGTCAGTTAAGATGATTTATCTTTCCCTTTGTTTGTGGCAGATTCAAAGAAGACTGATGCAACGCAGAATATCCCCAAAATGAAGCACAACAGAGTGTAGCTTATTGCAAAACAAACCCTCTGTGGTGCTTGAGCTCTCACTGTTGGCAATATAATGACCTGGTAGAACAGAAGCAACAGCCATTGTAAGTGATGGTTGGCCTTTGAGGCCCCTGGGGTTAGAAAGATAAAGAAATGCCTTGCAGTTCAGCACGTTTCTGCTGGCTGAGGCAGGGTTCAGGCTCGTCTGAGAAAAGGCTGGTTCTTGTGTAGCACGGGGTGTCAGCAGGAGGCATCAGGAATAGCTGTCTGTGTGCCTTCCCCACCCTGGCATCACTCCAGCCTTGCTGGTTTTTTTTTTTTTAATCAGAAGGGGTCAGTGTTTGAGAATCCGTACTCATCACTGCAGCTAGGAACTGGTGACTGGACACTGAAATTACTCTGAGGGAGGCACTCAACATTATTTGTAGTTCAGCAGTGCTGAATGGCCCCTGTCAGGATGGGTGCTCTTGTCGTGACATGTGCTGTACAAGTATTAATTACCGTGAGGAGCTTTCTGTCTAATCAGACAAAGAACAGGAAAAACAGGACCAAAATCGTGGAGCATTTTGCTCACAAGTGCAGAAGTTGGTCAGCAGAAGGAATACAACCAGTATCTTGCTTCTCTTTCTGGTCTCTGCTCTTGCCAGGCTGCAGTAGTGGTTCGTAGAGTAAGCCTGGCCCTGTTGCGCAGGGGTGCGTGGAGCCCAGGAAGGCCCCTCTGTACGTTACCAGTTAGTGGCGTGGGGAGAATTCGACTCCCTTGCCCTGAGTTTATTCAGATCTCTATCATCTGCAGATGGGTTTACCAGGGCTATGGTAGGGATCCATTTATGCCTTTGACTCTTATTGATGCTTGATAAATTTTAGAAGTATTTCTGCTCAGTATTCTGAGATTGTGGGAATCATCTGAGCTTAAGAATTGTCTAATGTCTTGTTTTCTTAAGGAGAATTCTGAAAAAATTGGGTAGTATTTTAAAAACCATCTCCATTATCATCAGACTCTTGATTTTGTTTTTCACTTTTTCTCACAGGTTTTGACTATTTTGAAGCTAGTGCCAAAGAAAACATCAATGTAAGGCAGGTGTTTGAACGTCTCGTGGATATAATCTGTGAAAAGATGTCGGAGAGTATAGAATCAGACCCTTCCAGGGGCAATTCTGGAAGGAGCATGCGACTCACAGACAACCCACCCCCTTCGCAGCAGAACTGCTCATGCTAGTGACCTTTCTTGCTGAGAAATATCCTTCTCCTTTCCTGACTAAATGTTATCTTTTGATTTGTGGTGGTGCATTATCATGTAGTCCAAAGGCAGAAATCTCTGTTGTAGGAAATTGGTATGTTTGTTTAATGTGCTGAAGTGTTAATATTATATATTTCCTCATCCAACAATTCAAAAAAAAATCTGACTAAATATTGTAAGTGCACCTAGTGTTAATGTGAGTTACACTGAAGAAAAAGAATTGTATAGTGTTGCAAATGTTATTTCCACGGAGAATGTTGCATTTTTAATTATAAATTCCTCTCCGCAGAAAGAGGTTTTTTTGTCAAGAACGGCAAGAAACATAAAAACCCATTAGAAGGGACCAGATCTAAAAGAAAATGGGGACAAAAATCTCTTATAAAGTAAGAATACGCTTTTTTTTTTACATAAGAAAAACCAAAAATCTATCCCCAGATATTTTGAGTCATTGTTGTTGTCCTCTAGACATGGACCTCAGTTTTTCTGTAAAATGGAGCAGAAAGCAGTTTATGTCTGTCTGACAGGTTGAGGTCCTCCAGAGAGCCAAGAGCATGGGGGCGGATTTTGTGTCAAGCCTCTAAATGAGGAAGAGCACATGGAGGAATCAAAGCTGCCAGGCAGGGGAGGAGGAGGAGGAGGAGAAGTCCTTGTGGCCATACCTGCTCTTGGCTGGTGCAAGCTTCTCCACGGTCACCAGTAACAGCTTGCAGAGTGCTGGGGGTGTTGCTGTGTTCGGCACCTTGCTATGCCCAATCACTTGTTTCTAGAAGCACAAGAGCTGACTGTCCTGCAGCTTTTCCCCTGTATCCTGTAGATTTGCCTCTCTGGGTTTGGATCTGCTCTGATCAACTGCCTGATGGTGGATTTGTTGTGGGACGAAGGAAAGGAGGAATTGGCTGCTGCATCCTTATTTGGAGGAAAAATCTGACATGTAAGACTCGGAACAGCACTGTCTCAGAGAGATAAAAGTATCAGGAGCCAAAATGCGAGTGTTGGCAAATATTAGTGCCAATATTATTAGATTTTCTTTCTGCATTTTGTGGTTGATTTATTTTTTTAATTTTGTGCTAGATAGGTGTCGGGGAGGGGATAGTTTTTCTTGTTTCAGATTCAACCACAAAGTATAATCTTAAAAAAGGAAGACTGATTAATAAAACATAACTGCAAAAGAAAAATGGCAAAGACGTCCTGTTAGTTATTCTGTGGACGTTTTGTTGCATCATTCTTTGAAGGGAGGAACAATTTTTAATACTTAACATCTAAAATATTCTTACACTTCCAACATCTCTAAAATTACAAAACTTCTACATCTATATGTAGAACTCTGTGTGCATTAGCCACACGCAGAGCTTGTGTTTCTCTGAAATATATGGAGGAACTGCTTTTGCGAATCTGTGACGTTACGTACACTGTATGCCTTTATGATCACACACTTGTTTTTGCATCCCAGCTCCAAACAGTGATTGCAAATTGTGTCTGTAAACATAAATTAGGTGGATAAAGAGAGTTTGCTGTCTTCAGGTGAAAATTCTGAAAAGTTTTATGGCTTTACCTTAGGCCTATGACCTCTGACCGAAACTGGAGTTTCCAGTCAGAAACTGGAGTCGAGTATCTGCCCACTGCACTGTAATTTGCTGGATTATGACACTAGCGAATGCTTTCGTAATTTCGTTCTGTTATGTCTCAAAGTGTAATAGTTCTAAGAAAAAAGCACAATGTTCTGGAGACAAATGCAACTACATTGATGTAGTTTAAGCTCATTGTGCTAAAGGCTTGATCCCTTTGTTTGTACGTTGCTTTCAGAAATCTTTACTATAACATATTTTGGGTGTGTGTGATCTAGTACGGAAAGTGCGATTTGTGCAGTGCTAGGAATGTGGTTATTGTATCTAAACCTCTGAAACAGCAAAATAAAGAGAAATGTAGTCACTGGGTGTGGCCAGAGCACTTGTGTGAGCTGCGTTACTAGCATTAGGCAATCATGCGCGTGTATAAAGAAGGTATCTTTTTAATGCTTTTAAAAAGCATCAAGCTACGTTGATCTTTTTTGACAGAGTGACGATCCTTGAGCCCAGCAATCACTATGCAGATTTAAACAGAGTGAAGAGAAGAATTATTTGGCCAATAAATATGCAGTGCAGTGTTTTAATTGTAGCAGAAGCAGGTTTTAGGGCAACTTGTGTAATTAGCAAAAAGAAATAAAAACTTCCAGAGCAGGGAGCGATGATTTTGAGCTGTGCAGGTATAATGGAGTATCTCAGTGTAAATAATGATTTTTCAGCTCAGCAACTCAATGGTAAAAGAAAATGGTAAAAGAAAATGATTCAGCAGAAACGGAATTTCAATTCTTTTGTTTTACTTACTTTTTTTTTTCTTAGCAAAAAAGACCTTTCCCTTTTCTACCCAATATATAATTGTGTTTCATTATGTTCCTGTCAAGTCAGATGTGTGTGTTTGTTTTTTTTTTTTTTTAAGAAGAATACAAGTACATTCCAGGCCCTTCAAGCTAGGATGGACAGAATTGGTTTTTACAGCACAAGCCAGCAAGTAGCTACATGGCAGTATAGTCTGAAGAACTGGAAAAGACAGTTAGGAATTCTACCCTGCCCTACATTGCACACATGGAGAAACCCAGTATTTGGTGCAGAAATCCTGCAGAGTTTATTTCAAATAAGAAATCAAATCATCACAGGCAATTGACACATAAAATATATATTAATGGAGAGATGTATCTCATCATCTTACATTTGCATTTGAAAGCTGTGAACAAATGCAGAGAAAGCCTTTTGCCTTAAGTGGCATGCAGCTGATTTCAGTATCACCAGTGAGTCAATAATTGTTACTTGTATCAACTTGTAAGAGGTAATGGCAGAATGCGAGACAATGATTTTTCAAGGCAAGGGAAGTAACAGACTTGCTTGCACGGAAGACAAACCCAAAATGCTGGCTGGGGTCTTGTACAGAGCCTTCCATTTGACCGGCTGTGGCCTAGGATAGTAGTGTTGATAAAACAGTATGCTTACACGATAAAAAAAGAAAGGGGTACTAGAATGTGAAGGAGGTGACTGCTCTGCATGAGCTTCTCTCTACTGCTTGTACAATACAGCACTGAGCGCGTAGTTCTCTAGTAAAAGCCACACAGGAGGCTCTGGGTTAGACATGGATCTTGGCTTCCATCTTGTGGAGAAATAAAGCAGTAAAATATCAGGTAGACATCCAGTCTAAATTATCGTCCCTGTATCTCAGACAGCCCCCCTCATTTGTATTAGCCTCTGATCCCTTAACTTTGCTTGCATCATCTTTTTTGCAGTCAACATAGACTTACACACACGCATAAAATAACAAACAGCACTGGTATTACAGGAATAGCGGAAAACTGAACAAATGTGGAACAATGCAAAAGGGATGTGACAAATGCAATGGCAAGCTTCCTAACAGCTCTCAAAGCGTTACACGAAAAAGGATCTTGGCAATGTATGCCATTTGGAAACGCCAGCTTCAAAGAGATTTAAGACAAGAGGAAAAGCAGCATTCCTGTTGTCAAGACTTGAAATTGCTACATCAGCACTGCAGTTTCATAGAGGGAAAAAGCATATTCAAAATTGGAAAATGCTGAGACCTACTGAACTGCAAAGACTAGGCCATATCAAGAATAGTCTTTTCTGTTAAATAGTCATGGGTACAGACTTTAAGCTAGTAAGGATACCATTAGGGGAAGAAAAAAATTTTAAAAAATCATCAGTCAACAGAAACACTCTCTAAAGACCAGCAGTACTGCTGAACTAAAATTGCAAACTTAAGTCTAGCTCACTTAGGTGTTGAAAAATACCAGCTGAAAGCTAGTTTTGCTACCAAATCAACCGTGCCATCAGGCAATTTCAACCCTAAGAATAGTCACATTTCTTTAACTTGATTCAATGTGGTTAGCGTTTAGCTTTTCTAATGACCGCTGAGGGAGCCTGATGACTACGATCCCGTTTCTTCGTGCCAAGTTTCTGTCTCGAGTTACCGCGTTTGGCTCGACCCAACC